AAGAAATAAAAAAAAATGATAAAAACGATAATAAACATACACAGATCAAATCAAATTAAAGTTAAAATAATTAATTAAAAACTAAAAATATCATAACAAGGGTTCATCTCATCCTTACAATATATAAACTAAGCTTAATATATTGAAATTATAAGAAATAATATTTAAGTGAAATGACATCATCCGGATTTTGATAAATTGAGAAGATGAATCTTGAAATCTTTAATCTCTTCAATGGTTTCTTGATGAATAACCACTTGCGTCTTCTCTTCTTTGCCCAAAAATCAAGTTTGAATCTTCACTTGATTGAATTCTTGCAAGTCTCCTTCAATTCTCTCACAAAAACTATGAATTCTCCTCTTTTGATGATAATAATTGATGAATATTGGAGTATATTATGTCTATGAGAGGTTCCCCATATGTGTTTTGCTGTTAGGTATTTGTAGGAGTCAAAAAATTGGTGGAAAATTACGTCCAAATTGGGTTCCAAAAGAGTTTCAATCGTATAAGGAAAGTTGCATTCGTGCGCGAATTTTTTGTCTCTGCACAACAATTAGTATTTTGGCCATAACTTTTTCTTCTGATATCCAATTGAAGCGATTCAAAGTGCGTTGGAAAGAAAACTCGAAGGGCTACAACTTTGATAGAATTAGAATTTTCCAAATTCGAACGTTTACTATGCCAAAAATAGATCTCAATATTCGATTAAAAATTTGGAATATAACTTGTGCGATTAAAAATTGATTGTGATAATATTTTGATCATATTCCATTCCTTTTTGAATTCAAATTCCATCCAATTGTCTCCTAAAAATCTTCCGACTCATCTTTTGGTCCAAATGAACTATTGAATATTTGCAATTTGATCTCCAAACTTTGAATTTTGCACTTTTTTTACCAGTTTTCGTTTCTTTCAATTTCTCGTCCAACCATTGAGTTTTACCCGTATAACATAAAATACAACACTTGAGGATATATTTTGTCTAAAGAACTATCAAATATCGCTATTTTAGACCCCGAATAAATGTACAAAATACACTTATCNCTCTCTTCCGATCAATTTTGTCTAAAGAACTATCAAATATCTCTATTTTAGACCCCGTATAAGTGTACAAAATACACTTATCAATTCAAATAGCCTATTTCTAAAGAAGTAAAAATCTTATCAACTAAATAGTAAAAATGGTCTCCTATAAAATACTAGGAATCCTAGTTACCCATAATAATAAAATTCTAAAACTAGTAGTAATAATTGATTTCTAGTATTCTCCTTCATCATTTTGACAACAAAAAAGCTGTGGCTAACAATAGTTTTAAGTTAAACCGAGTTGGATAATCTAAGAACTGATTTTTCTATAAAAATATATTTGATTACAGAAATAAGAAGAGGCATTCCTATGAGTATGTATTTATTTTCTGCTTCTTTTTGCTTCCTGTGAAGAAGGCTTTAATAATTCTCTCACTAGTCACCTGGATACTGGAGTGGTAGTTTAGAAAGGTTATTGCCTACTATAAACAAATGTTGGATTGATAGGCGATTGAGTTGTTAGACCTAATATATGATAGGCATTTCATTTATCCTAGCATTTATTAGTAATATTGATCACTAGTTCGCGGGGTTAATTTATTTGATATATGGGGATCATTCTTCCCTTGAAACTTCAAAAAGATACAGAGATTCAAATATGGATTTTTCTACCGAAGATGTTTTCTTCATATAACAATCTAGAACTAAATAAATGGGCAGCAAAGATATTCCCTTTATCTATGTCTAGAGGATATATAGTTAAGTGTCTAAGAATGTTTATTGTGTACACTCAGAATCTTTCTAAACATTAAATGCCAATCTATAACTCGCAAGTGTATTGTTTAGTTGTTAACTTACTTCCTCTGAGAAGTTGACTGACGGTCAATTTATTTTTTGGCAGTCCATGGAATCTTTTAGGACATGTTGACAGTGCAATATATGGTGAACCTCCTAGCAATCTAACACGGCGCCAGGTTTCTGAATCAGACTGATTTTCTTTTAATGTTGTGGTAAATGCCTATATAGTTAACTCTTTCTAGTAATTTTTCTTTTAGGTCCTCGAAAAGTATCAGGTATATGGCGATTCAGTACTGGGAAAATATGGACAAAGACCAAATGTTCGGGAGGTTATAAGGGTATGCATGCAATCTGATACATCTTTTAAATTTTGTGTTTACCTCTGGTTTATTGAGGAACAGATTCTATGGTTGGTGTTATTAGCAATGTTATGTTGTATGTTGATTGTAAGACTGTCATCTTTCCTCTTTGCTTGTCTGCATCTACTCTTCTGTAAATTTGGCATGTGGATTATGCAAATCTAAATTTGTGTTCCTCTTCCTCCTGCAAACAAATTATATTTTCACATGCATTTTGTTTCATCATTAAGATAAAATTTTATCTCATTGTGTATTGCTAACGTAAAATTCCTGAAATACACCACAGCCTTTGCTTGGTCTTTTCCACGCAGAGCCTGGAAACAGTCGATGGAAGCGTAAAGCTGATGCTGCTTTCATGCACTGCACAGTAAGTCATGTTCACTTTGAAAGCCATAATATATCTTGTTCAGAACTGTTTGTCCTACAACTTTTGTGAAGTAACTTTGTGCCTGGATAGAAATGACAGAACAACTTCCATAATATTATTCTAACGTCATGTTTGGTTAGGCGAAGAAACTAGTGTCTTGTTCATTGTAGAAGAGTCTAATATAGTGTATGAGACATGCACTAAGGGTTGGATAGTACTAAAGAAGTTACAATATTATTTGTTAAACCCGAGTCCTCTACGGTCTGTGTACGTAGCATACACTTTTTGAAGCATTTTGGAGATGGGAGTTGGTAGAGGGATCTGTGGGATGAACTCTCAATGAATCTTGTTCACGTGGTTCCCAAATTTTGCAGACAATCAAATCCTTTTTCGAGGAGACACTGTTCACTATTCCCGATTGTGTGTTGGATTCACCTGTTGCTGAGGCACCCTCTGGTTGTACAGACATGTTCACAAAGTCAAAGAATTTGTTACCTCAACAGTATAGAGTTAGAGAAGAAGAGCTATTATATGCGGATTTTTGACCTCACAATTGCCAACTGCACCAGTTCAGAAAGGTTGTCATACCGGTGGTTACAAATAGAGATATGGAAGATCAAGCCTGTCTAACTGAGTATTCATTCGAAGACTTCTGAATTATTTGAATACTTGCTCTCAAAGACCACTTGAATTCTTTACCATTGCTAATTGACAATGGAATGATTGTATTATTATAGTTTCTGATGTGTCTCCTTTTTCGATGACTTATGTTGTATTCCATTGAAAGTTTTGATAAACTCAAGACAGTCTTTTAGAATGTTACTTTCCGTATTTTTGGCAAATTTGTTTTTCTAAGTTGGTTGTTTTTGAAAATGTCGTATGTATCTGGATTAAACACGAGGATGTGACCAAATATGTGTGTTCACTTGCAGATATCTGGTTTTGTATAGGGTATTTAAAATTCAACTTTGGATGTCAGTGTGGTTGTCCCCTATATAGATTATTTGGTCATTTTTACCAAATGTCAAGCTCCATACGAACTAAATTGTGAGCATTTGTTTAATCAAAGGGTTAATTTCACAAATGGTCACTGAAGTTACATGAAAATTTGAAAACGGTCACTGAAGTTTAAAAAT